AAAAAAAAAATGCCAACAAGTAACATCATATCTGATGGTGACAAATGAATGCTTACCCAGCAAAACTGGAAGCAAGACAAGTAGGTCACTCTCATCATTCTCACTCACTATAGCATTGGAAACTCTATCCTGTGAAGTACAGCAAGAAAAATAAACAAAAGTATATAGATTGAAAGCCAGAAGTAAAATTATCCACAAGCATAGGCAACATAGTTACAATATATAAAATCCCAAGGAACACACACACACACACACAAACAACTCATACCAAAGTGAGTTCAATATGGTTACAAGTTGAAAGATCAACAAGAAAAAATTAATTATATTTCTATATATTCATGAATAATTACAATATTTTTTAAAGTAACACATTCACATTTGTTCCAAAAACTACTGAGGCATAAATCTAATAAAACATACTGTGTTAGAGATTTCTGTTATTGTAACAAATAACTGAGACTTACATGAAAAAGTCTGTTTTGGCTCAAAGTTTTAGAAGTTTCAGTCCCTGATTGGTTGGACATGGTTTTTTGACCTGCAACAAAGCAGATAGAAAGGTAAAGCCCTACAACAGCCAAAATAATTTTGAGTAAAAAGAATAAAATGAGAAGAACCACTCTTCTCGCTCTTAAGGCTTACTATATAGTTGCAATCCCTAATGTGGAGTGTCTTAGTTACTTTTCTCTTGTTGCTGAGACAAAATACCTGACACCCAAAGTTAAAGGAGTAGAGGTTTATTATAGCTCACAGTTTATAGAGGTCTCAGCTCATAGTTGGCTGGCTCCAAGGCGGGGTGGCATGGCAGAGAGGCATTGCAGAAGAAAAATAGTTCATGGCAGGGAGAAGGCAGCAAGTAGCAAAGTAGCAAAGCAGCAAATAACAAGAAACAATAGCAGCCCTCCTTCCATCCTCCACACTCCATCCAGACCACCCACCACCCCAGGGTGGGCAGCACTCATACCCAGAGTGGAGCACAACCAATCTCAGCATTGCACCATGAATCAGTCCCAGCATCACATCCTCAATCCCAGCACCACACACTCTAGATCTAGCCGCCTTCAAAACGCTCCACCCATGACCACATGTATGCCTTGGAGGAACTTCTAGGACACAAGCCTCAACATGGAGAGATACAGACATAGATGAGTGGAACAGAATAGAGAACCCAGAAATAGATCCACACAGATGTCCTAATTTCAAAGATGTAGCAAAAGCAATGCAATGGCAAAAGGATAGATTTTTCAACAAATGGTGCTAGAGAAATTGAACATGCAATGTTAAAAGATGAACCTCCATTTAAACTTTATACCAAAAGAACAACTGATAAAAGAAAAAATTGATTAGTTAGACCTTATAAAAATTAAAAACTCCTTTAAAAAAGATAAAAAGAAAGAAGAGTAAATTCAAATATATATCTGACAAGGAACTAGTATCTAAAATATATAAAGAACTCTCAAAACTCAACAATAATAAAGCAAATAATTCTATAGGGATACCTGCGTATCCATGTTTATTGTGGCAGAATTCACAATAGCCAAGATATGGAACCAGTCTAAGTGCCCATCAACAGATGAATGGGTGAAGAAAAT